CTCATTACAGCGTCGCCGTGGCGGGGAGCTTAAGGTGCGCGCACACCGGATCGGGGCGCGAAAAGCCAGGCGTATCGTCGACTCACCCGAGTGGCTGACAATCACCTCGCAGATTCCAGGCAGAGAGCCAGGGAAAGGTGAATCGAGACGTCGCGTCGCGGCGCTTCCGGGGTCGTCCGCGGCCGACACGCTCGTGACTGCGATGGAAAGACTCGCGCTATGCCACGCTATTTCTGCATTTTGTTCGCGGATGAAACTGGTCGCGCGCTGTCGTTGTGAGACGATCCTAAGACTCATATATCTATATATTCGCACACACCGCGCTTCTCTGTGCAGTCTGTTGTTCAACAATAAAGTCGATCGCGTTGTTGTCGTCGGGCATTTAGGAGGGTTGCTCGTCAGTTGCTGTCACGAGATTCCTGGACACTTCGGGCTCTCCTGCGCGCGAACGCGGAAATCGAGCGAGAGGTATTGCGAGCTACGGTGTGTTTTGAACCAACTGCTCGGCAGGGCCAAAATCGAAAGCCACAGTTGAGTCGAATCGAGTTGTTGAGTCCAGTGGAAACAAGTTTGCAGCACTTTTATCTCGACGAACTACAGAACGCATCCAGCACCCAATAGGAGAATGTATCTTCCGGAAATAAATCAATTTTTTCTTTCTCTTCGAAGAAGCCAGACCAATGTAACGCTCTGAAAAAAAGCGTATTTCTGACGCGGAACTCTCGATCGATGATGTCAGAAGCGAGAAAACGCATGATCAAAATTCTTGCGAAGCAAAAGGATATTTCCTTAATGCGACTCTTGAGTTCGATTGAGCACATTTGTGTAAAATATTCCAATAGTTTTCTTTTTGTTCTAGCAATCAATAAATAATAATATGTTAACGTGACATGCAATCTTTTTTTAGCCTGTCTTGCTTCATGATTCTGTCACGTTAATTTTATAGTTATTTATTGATTATTAGAGTAAGAGGAAAGTTCTCGGAATATTTTACAAATGTATTCAATCGATTACAAGTGTCATTTTATGGATATAATTTTTCATCTTGACATATTCCGCAAAAATTTTGGGAAATACATCTTCTCGCTTCCGAGAAGTCATTAATCAAGATAGCCGCAGCGAGGACACAAAAGCCTTAAACAATTTTTAACTAAAAAACCGATTTTCTCTCCTCTAGGATACTGGATGCGTTGTGAAACTCTTCGAGATATTTTAACCCAACATGTTGCAACTCTTCTTTCACTGACTGTACGAGAAAGATTTGAATATTTTCCAATAAAGAAATGTATTACAATAAGAAAATTTGTCTGCTGAGAACTGCTCGAAAAGAAATTCTCTCATTAGACATCGACTTTCCAAGCTGCGTGGAAGAAGAAGCGTTTAAATTGTCCTGCAACGGTCCTGCAAACGGTTGTATGCTCGTTGTAACGCGTGAAAAAATCGCTGTTGACTCCACCGAACATGTTGATGTAATCGTCCTTGCGTAACTGCGTGCTGTGGAACAAAGATGAAAATTACGTGACAGCTGTCGGCGGCGACGCGGACAGGCTAAATTATGTTGATTGCCGATATGAGTGTGTCAAGAAACAGAGGGAAAAGCGCGTGTCGGGCGTGTCGTTACATCATCTTGTTACAAGCAGTAATTGAAGACGAATAAAACAGAATTGTCGCCGACTGACTGCACTTGGAGACAGTTCTCGTGCTGCGTCGTGGGGTCAATATTGTAGATAAACAATTGATAAAACAGGTGACGTAAGGTAAGAACAGAAGGGAACATGCACTCGAAAGAAAAACGATCTTGCAGTCATAGCGAAAAGGATTTAGATATGAGAATTTATTCAATCTATATAGGTAACAGAGAGACAGAATTTATATATGAACTATTTGTAAAATTTAACAAAAAGTTTCCCTGTAACGCTCATTCAGATTAAGACCTTATAAAAATGATTGTGATAGACGAAAAAGACTAGTATAGTAATCCGGTTCGTGACGATTGTAGTGACGGTTAGTAGTTTTTTTCAATATATTTAATCTGCTATTAAAAGTGTATGTATTGAGGTCTCACACGGAGAAAAATAATTTTGTTCTTTTAGCAAAATCCTCGTTGCTAATGCATATTCGTAGTGACATCAAAAAATTTAGTTGACGTAACGTGCAGTGACTGAACTAGTAAGAAAGCACGATCGATTTTACATTTTTCTTAATAAATAATTAGTAACTAACAAAACTAACGTTTATATAAAACTTTGATCTGTCAGTAATTGAAAAATAATAGGAAATAAGATAATCAATAAATATCAATAAAAAATGCTAAGATTCTTAATTAGTCAATTACCTCAGGTATCTCAAATATTTGGTCAATCCTCAGGTATCGCAAATAGCTCAAACTTTTGCTTGACCTCAAGCTAACACTCAAGTAAATATTCAGACGAATATTTCCGGTTGCAGTTTTTTTTGCACTTGTTTTTTGTCGCTAAATTTTTGACCATTTTGTTACACAAATAGAGAGCTTTTTTGTACAAAATTACTTTGATCTAATTGAAATTGAAATCTAATTGAATTCACTCACATGGATTAAATTCTCACTACAGGTCAACTCTAAGTTAAATTAAACATTTACTCTAGTGATTTTCCGAATGGCAATATTTTCTATCTTTATCGCTTTGAGTGAGATTTTACTTCAGGAAATCTAGAGAATGCAGTGGTTTCTTATCTAATCAAATCTTATCATCGAGAAAATAGAATGTTTATAATTAAATTATTATAAACTAATATTTTATTAATTACTTGATTGAAAACTCCGAATGGCAATATTTTCTATCTTTATCGATTTGACATTTTACTTCAGGAAATCTAGAGAATGCAGTGGTTTCTTATCTAATTAAATCTTATCATCGAGAAAATAGAATGTTTATAATTAAATTATTATAAACTAATATTTTATTAATTACTTGATTGAAAACTCCGAATGGCAATATTTTCTATCTTTATCGATTTGACATTTTACTTCAGGAAATCTAGAGAATGCAGTGGTTTCTTATCTAATTAAATCTTATCATCGAGAAAATAGAATGTTTATAATTAAATTATTATAAACTAATATTTTATTAATTATTTGATTGAAAACTCCGAATGGCAATATTTTCTATCTTTATCGCTTTGAGTGACATTTTACTTCAGGAAATCTAGAGAATGCAGTGGTTTCTTATCTAATCAAATCTTATCATCGAGAAAATAGAATGTTTATAATTAAATTATTATAAACTAATATTTTATTAATTATTAGATTGAAAACTATTCATTTTATAAAAATGCATCGACTTGATTTCGCACAATTACAATTCAACGCGACAACAAAGGTGCCGCCGCTATTTATTTACATATTACGTCGAAGCGCGTCGGTACCGCGATGCTATCGATACTGATAAGTTCAAGTGTCCGTGGCGCGTCTAATTACGAGTAAGTGCAAGACGAGTATTACGACTGGCAGTCGCCGGTCACTCCCGAGGCTGTTTCATTCCCGATGCGGCAGTGCCGCTCAAGAGAGCTCCTCGCGATCGTTAGTTGACGAACGAGTGCTCGCGAGTTCGCTACCGTGTAGTGTCGTGTCGCAGGAAGTTCCGTATCCTTCTCGCCAGGAGGGACTCTCCTCTTCCCGTCGATTCAGCCCCGCGAAACTCTGCGAGTCGAGTCTCGAGTTGGATCATTCTCCGACGCTGCGTTCGTCCCACGAAACGCTCGAGTGCGGAAATTAGTTGAAATTATCTCAAGGTGAGAAATCTCGACGGATTAAGGAAGAAAGCAAACTGGAAATTGCATTGCATTGCTTGAATCATGCGTCATCATGAATAAAGTCCATGTAATAATAAATAAATTGATGTGAGGTTACTTCAATTAGAATCAAATTTGGTTCTAAAGAACCAAAAATACTGCGTTTAAAAATACTCAATCAAAACGCTTTTGATTCACTCATTATTAAGTTAGTTTAATCAAACTTTTTTCACTTAAATCCAGATAGACCCAGATAGACTCAATTATTATAAATTAATATTTTATGATTACTTGCGTGATTATTTTCACGATTATCACGACATGATATTCCAGTATTTAAGATATTTTATTATTGATTTCATGATCACTTTTCTGATTATCACGACGTAATATAATCAATAATGGAAAGTCTACAACTTTTTTAATTACATTTATGAGGCAAATATCCCGTAATGAATCAAACATTAAATTTACATTATACGATAATATACACTTTTTGTTATATTGATGCGGCAACGCGAATTTACTAAAATTTACATTCAGATTTCCACATCACATTTTACATGATATGTTGTTTCGAACAAATGTTGATTATTTTTTTTCGTATATTTTTTCGTATTTCTATTTTGTCATTTTATGTAATAAATATGTGTGTTACAAAGACCACTCGTAAACGACGCAATCTTTACAAACCGACTAGTAAAGTTGTTGCCATATTTACGCGCACCTGTCCTTCTGAGGATACACGATATGAAGATGTATTTTTTTCACACACGGAGGCACGCACATACGCAAACATGCATAAACACAGTATGGGAATGTTTTTCACACGCGTCTCAAAGCTATTGAGAATGTTATATACTTCTTAGAAAAAATGCTTCTACGCACAGTCTTATTCTTCGCTCTTTAAACTTCCTATACTCTGCTGAAATTGTTTCTGTTTCATAAGTATAATTAACCGGACAAAGCCACACACTTCATGTGGCGCTTTTTCGGTTAATGAATGTTTACATCCTCGAGAAGAATTCTCTGCGTCTTATCGAGTGAGCATTCCTCAATACGCAATTACATTTCGACAAAAACGGATGTCTTGCAGAACGAATATCTGCAATGGACATCTTGCGAGATATCTAAGCACAAAATCGAACACGGATAACCACGAAATTCGCTTGTGTTAGGCTCTCTATCTGTCTCTATCTGCCTCGTGACCGTGATAATTGGTGTTTTAGCAGCCAGCAGAACGGAGCTGCCATCACAGCGACTACTCCACATGTGGACATCGCCGTCCCGACTCAGGATCGGCCGGGCACCCAGGAAAAAGACTCAGCCTTAAGTTGATAGCTGCGCCAACAGCTGTCGTGGCCGGTGAAGAATGGAGAATACCGATGGATCCAGGAGGAAGCTCTCCTTCCTCGGCTTCGGTAAACGGGTATCGGTGAGTAGAGATCTCCATGAGTAATCCTTAGCTTTTGATAAACTTCCGCGAACGAGCGACAATGAATCAGCCGACTCTTCCTCGAGTTCTCTCCTGACATTGAATTGTCCTCGACTTCTCTCTCTTGACTGTTACCGCGCGAGTTTCATTCGCTCGCTTCGTAAAACACATGTCGCGAGTAGGTTCGTATGTGAAACGCCGGCTCGGTTCGAGTGTCCAAGCGATAATCGGCAGCTGATATCGGACGATACACAATACTCCGCATAAGGCTTGGTATGTCGGTTTGATACTGTACTCTTTTGAAAAGAATCAGTAAAACGAGATACTCAGTACACGCTCACTGATTTTCAATGGAGACGCTTCCACTTTACTGTTCTGTCTTACCAGGTATGTAAATATGAAACCGGAATTTTTATATAGAAAATACACGTTTACTGTATGAAAATGATAAAAAATATTTTATTCGAAGTATTGCCCATCGCTAGCTATACATTTTTCCCACCTGTCTGACAATTTGTGGATGCCACGCCAAAAAAACTGTTGCTCTTTTGAGGCAAACCAGTCATCGAGCCATTTTCGTACATTTTCGTAAGAAGTGAAGCGCTGTTTAGCAAGTGCGTGTCCTATCGATGCAAATAAATAGTAATCGGACGGAGCCAAGTCTGGTGAGTAAGCCGCATGCGAAAGTATTTCCCAACTAAACGCCTCAATCGTTTCCTTGACCAGTTTTGCTGTGTGTGATGGTGCATTATCATGAAGCAAAATCACTTTGTGTTGCCTTTTTTTATATTCTGGTCGTTTTTCACGCAAAGCTTGATTCAAATCGATCATTTGTTGTCGGTAGCGTTCAGTATTAACGGTTTGGCCAGGTTTTAGCAGCTCATAATAGATCACACCCTTCTGATCCCACCAAACACAGAGCATTGTCTTCCGTCCATAGCGATTTGGCCTTGCAGTCGATGTCGATGGTTCGCCTGGAGTTACCCATGATCTTTTACGCTTAGGATTCTCAAAATATATCCACTTTTCATCGCCAGTCACAATTCGATGGAGAAATGACTTTCTTTTGTACCTGGCGAGCAGCATTTCGCAAGTGGTTTTTCGGTTTTCCTGCTGTCTTTCATTCAGTTCATGTGGAACCCATTTTCCCATCTTCTGGATCTTTCCCATGGCTTTCAAACGTATGGAAACGGCTTCTCGTGTCACATTTAATTGATCCGCGAGTTGTTGTTGCGTTTGATTGTCATCCTCATCCAACAATGCTTGCAATTCGCTATCTTCAAACTTTTTCGGTGGTCTTCCACGTTCTTCGTTTCTCACGTCAAAATCGCCATTTTTAAATTTTTTAAACCACTCAACGCACTGTGATTTACCAAGAGCATGTTCACCGTAAGCTTCGACAAGCATTCGATGCGATTCTGCAGCAGTTTTCTTCAAATGGTAACAGAAAATCAATGCTGTCCGCGAATCGTAGTTTCCAGGCATAAAATTCGACATGTTCAACGCTATTACAAACTATGCTGTTGTATGAAACTTGTATTGTTGTGAGTTGAAAATCTTTGTCAGAGATGTCAACAAGGAAATGGCACCAATGACGCGGTTTGACGGTAACTACATTGACAGCTAGGGCCATCTATGGGCAAATTCCGGTTTCATACTTACAGACCTGGTATCTCATTGATTTAGACTAATGGAGATAAGATTTCACTGCAAAATCTATAGGACACAAATACGTTATGTACTGTGTCAATGTTTCTGCGCTTGTGGCGATGGAATTAACGTCTTTCATGCGATTTGCGTGCAATGGCATTCACTACGTAGAAAGAGAAAGTATTCTTGTCTGGAAGTTATCTTTATTTTTAACATGTTAATCTTCAAATGATTACATAGCGTTAGACGAAGATAAGTTAGTAAGAATATGTTTTATATGATTTTTAATGAAGAAAAAATCCGTATTCTTATTATTGAAAAATAATTTTTATTAACGCAAGCACAAAATATATTAGATTGAAAATATGGTGTTTTTAAAATGGCGCTCATATTTATTACATAACATAATAAAATAGAAATACAAAAGATATTTAAAAAAATTCAAAATTTGTACAAAATAATGCAAAATATAATATAAAAGTAATTTTGAGCAATTTTTTTGCTGTATCGGTATAACACTAATTTACCTCATTGTATGCTGTAAATTTAATGCTTAATTCAATATAGCATATTTGCTTCAAATGTAATTAAAATAACTGTAAAGTTTTTATTATCGACTGTCTTGTGTCGTTAATTATAAAAGTGTGTATGTAAAAAGTATGTACCTAGATGTACGCAAATTTGGCACCAACTTTATTAGTCGATTTGCAAAGTTTGCATCTCTTATGAATGATTCATATAGTATTCATAGTTATCACATAGAATAACAAAGTCGAAATTCGAAGAAAATACAAAAATATTTATGAAAATTTGCTCCAAGTAAAGTCATGTAAAATATAATGTGAAAATCTGAGTATAACTTTTAGTAAATTATATCACATCAAAAGATTACCTTATTATATGATGTAAATTTAATGTTTAATTCAAATACAGTATATTTATTTCATATATGTAGTTAAAATGATTTTACAGTTTCCACTACCTTGTCTCACACGCCATCATAACCATGAAAGTCTATCTGACTGGTATCATCTTTTAGGAACATCTTTTGACGCGTTGGCCGGTCGCTCCGAAATTTATCTTCGCCCTTTTCCTTGTGGGTTAATTCAGCTGGGGTAGTGATCACGAAAGATGAACCGAGTGCTGGGTTCTCGTTTTCTCAGCGAAAGACGAACACGTGCGGGAATTAATGAGCTGTAATGCGAAACTGCAGCGTGATCTTCTCGACGACACCGCCTTCGCTCGCCATTTCATATCCAGAAAGTAATGATGTTGGTTTTTATGTATTTTCGGCACAGTTGTTGCTAATTCAAAGAAAAAATTGTGTCTAGTTGAAGGAAAAAATTGTGTCATGTGATCTTTTTCTCTGTTAAATCTTTGAAAGTCGGAGAGAATTTTGAACGAAAAATCATTTATCGTTGCCCTTTGTAACGACCATCAAATAGAGGAAACGACTTTTATAGACCTAAGTACATGAAGTTGAATGAAATTTTGAACAAATTATGATCATTTTTTTATGCTTCTCGTTATCATATTTTGAACTGTAAAACTGTAAAACTGTATGATTTTGAACGCAGTAAAGTTGTTGCTAAATTTACATGCATACATCAATCTGGATAGATCATATATTTTAGAATAAACAATCCCAAGTAGGAATTTACTACTGGCATCAAAGTGGCCCAGTACCGATTTATGGTAAACGTTACTGGCATAGTACCAGATGCTAATATGTGTTTAATATTGGTGTGATACTGGGATGATAGAAAAGGGCCAGTACCGAAAATCAGTACTGTACCAGTATAAAAAAAGTATTGATTCCTAACACTGGGGGAAGTATCTATTTCCCAGTACTGGGCTAATATCGATTCTTAGTAATTTTTATTATTTGCATAATTATTAATATCACAACTATCCAAGTAGGAATTTACTACTGACATCAAAATTGTCCAGTATTGATTTATAGTAAACGTTACTGGCATAGTACCAGATGCCTGTACGGGTTTAGTATTGGTGTGATACTGGGATGATAGAAAAGGGCCAGTACCGGAAAACAATACTATCACAGTACCGAAAATCAGTACTGTACCAATATAAAAAAAGTATTGATTCCTAGCACTGGGGGAAGTATCTATTTCCCAGTACTGAGCTAATATTGATTCTTAGTAATTTGTATTATTTATACAATTGTTTATATTACAATTATATAGTATGGAAAGAAAGATCAGACCATGACCAGGGCTGCTCTCGTTTGCATCTATACATGTTTATTTTTAATAGTCATATAAGCAAAAAATCTTCGGGGCGACGGCTGGAATCTTCCGCTTGTCAGACAAACGTTCTTACCACTGAGCTATCTAAATGTCGCGTTACTGATCTTTTCCGTTTTCCCATAAAGGACATTGGTATCGTTAGTTTTTCGGTATCGGCATAACTTTCGGTACTGGCCCAATATCCTCTATTGGCAGGTTGTATACGATTCTTATTTGAGTATCCAGTACTGATTCTTCGAACAAGGCTAGTACCAATAATACAGCTTTTTAATACTGGGCCAATACCGAAAACGACAAACACTTTTCGGTCCCAGTACACGTACGGTACGACTATCCAGTATCTAACTTTAATACGGAGCCAGTACCAATAATACAGTTTTTTTATAGTTATATTTTTAGGCCCAATATTGAGCCAGTACCAAAACCGGACATCCGCTTTTCGGTATCGACCTAGTATCGGGCCATTTTTCCGTACTGGAAACGTATACGATTCCTATTTGGGATTCTACAACTCTTTTAATTATATTTATGAGGTAAATATACTGCATTAAATTATTTATTAAATTTACAATGTATAATCAGAGTAAGTAAACCTCAGAGTAAATTTGCCAAAAGAAAAGATTTACATCATTGTATGATATAAATTTAATAATTACTTCAACACACGTTGTGCATTTACTTCATAAGTGTAATTAAAAGAATCGTGAAGTTTCCGATTGTCTCGCGTTGTGACGATCATGAAACTCTCTCTGGGTTGTCGCACTAAACGAAAGAGGGAAGAAGAAACGGAGTACGACGACCGTAAAATCTTCATTCGTCACCGTTGACCGAACCGACAAATTCTGTCGAGTCCACCACACGTGCTATCGCTCGAGTCGCGCAATGTAAGCAGATGTAACGAGGTTCATGAATGAGTCACGATGACGAGCGGCGTGTCGCCGGGCGTCGCGTTCGTGCGGAAAACGAGACTTCAAGGTGGTCTCGAAAGAGAGTCACCGGGAAGCCGCGCGCGAGCGCCGAAATAGCGTGCGGATTAACGTTCTCCCTAATCGCCGATTGTCTCCCAGCTCTCTCTCCGAT